TCACACACACACACACACACACAATTCACCCCAGGTCCTACTATGACCATCTCCCATTTGTTCATTGTGCCCTCTCCACCACTAACAGCATGTCCTGAAGAAGAACCTTGTGATCAGTATAGACTAGTCCCGTCATTTGGTTCCAAACGCAGTGGGTCCTCCATGGTAAAAGATGAACCCATCATCTTTCAGTTACCATCCAATGATCACTATTAATGGACAGTTAGAGGTTGTTCCGATTGAATTCTACGACCTTCCTTGAATATACAGCTCTGTTCATGTGGGGGTTGATTATACATTCTTTTAAGAGGAATTACTGGGTCAAAGATCAGTAATTCAGTGAGCATTCAGTCAGCGCCCATTATGTGCTAGGCAATACAGAGACTAGGGATGTTGAACAAAAACAGTCCTTGTCCTCACAAGCCTAGCTTTCCAAGGTTTTTTCAGGTTGATAGATAGTGCCATGATACTGTTCATCACTGGTCCAGGAGAAGAAAAGCTTATTGACTGGTATCCTCACATCTTTCTTGGGGCAGGAGCTCTGATGTTCTAGACACTTACAAATTTGACTTCATCAAGATCTTCAGGGTCTAGGGATAAGACTCTTCATCTGGGTGTGTTATGGGGTGAGGAGGGAGAGAGACAGGAAAGGACTGGTCCACTAGTAACGAGGTGGAGGGAGATGGGAATCCAAGTCCACTCAGTCGTATGAGAGGAAGGCTGAGCCTGGTTAGAAATGAAAATTCCTGGACCCCACCGTTGACATACTGAATCAGAAACTCTGGGGGTAGGGCCCAGCAGTCATGTTTGAACAAGACCAACAGGTGATCTTGAAGTTTCACCTTAGCATTAGAACCACGAGAATGATCCACAGGACTTGAGTGAGAAACAGCCCCTCTGAGGTCTCACCTCCTCGGGGTGTACCGGGGATGAGGTATGAGGATGAAACTGTCCCCTGCGAGACTTAGCACCGTGGGTACAGAGATGGACCACAACCACTACAAATACTGTGTATGCAGGGGCAGGAAAGTCCACCCCACCCCAGGGTGATTAGCCCCAGCTTCTGACAGAGGTGACGATGATGCTATCTTGTACCCCAGACTGCTAGCCCAGCTACGGGCAGACACCCATTCTAGGACATCGCCACAGGGCCACTCCAGTCCCATTTTGGCCATGCCACCTCCTACACGTCTGAATGACCTGGGAGGCGGCCAAGGGGAAGGTGGCTGGTGGTGGCATGAGGCAGACAGGTGTCCGCAGAGAGAGGGTATAGCCGCTGCCAGCAGAAGAGGGGGTTTGGGGAAAGGACGGGGCTGTTTAGAGGGACTTAAGGGGGGGGAGTGCCAGAGGCAGTGAGAAGGAAAGGCCTCTCCATTCTGCAGGATACAGTATCCTACGGTGTGTGCTAAGAGATGGCAGAGACGACAGGCTCCACAGGTCTCCTTTTATGGATCTAAGATCCCCCTAAGACCCCGAGGGGCAGGATGCAGAAGTCACTATGATCAGAGGTGAGCAGGGTGGGCCAGATAACAGGCATCCCCAGGATCCAGACCCGAGAGGTCACTCTCAGAACCCTTCGGTCCCAGAGAACTCCCCAGCCCTAGGGTGAACCTGACTTCCAGATGACATGGTGTGACTGCAGACAGCGAGGACGGCAAGACACCAGGCCTCTCCCCCACAGGGTGGATGGAACAGAGACTCCCTGTCACTGCCCTCACAGCAGCCCTGAGCTCAAGATCTGTGGCACTGTGTCACAGGGTGCAGCCTGTAGGCTCTGGGAGTGGGTGTGCGAGGCCTCTGAGCGGAAGGGCAGCTGTTACTAGGACTAGGAAACCTCTCAGCCAGTTGGCACTATGTTGTCAGGTGTGACATCTTTGAGCTGTTTGTGGCTGGTGTCTAGCATGAGAGATGACTGAACGATTTGTGAGTCTCTATCCCAGGGTCTGAGGTCTCTGAACTATTGGGTGTGTGTGGGGGGGGGTGTCTTTGTCCAGAGGGCTGGGCCTCTGAGCTGTTCGCGTATCTGCATCTGAGAACGTGGTTGCGAGGAAGGCAGGATGGACCTCACCCTCACAGGGCTCAGCACTAGGCCTGGGAGCTCCCATTTGCCGTGCTGTCTCCCACGCCTGCCCCGCTAGCACAGGAATGAACGTTTAGTGTCCCCATCCTCGGGGGCGGGGGGCCTTTCCTCAGCCCCATGCAGCTCCTAGGAGCCCGTGGTAACAATACAGATAAAAGGAATATCTGCTAACGTTACCCCCACCCCTGCTAGGGGCCAACCACTGTCACAAACCTATGTACATGTATTAACTCAGTTAACTGACAAACCCCTAAGGAGAAGGTCATCATCTGCACGTAAGGGGGCTGAGGCCCAGGGAGGAAGGGCACTCTCAGCTCTTGAGGAGGGAGGAACTGGATGTGACTTAAGCTCTTTGAAGGAGGCAGGCAGAACTCAGCACAGCAAGGCCTGGTAGGGGGTGACCAGGAAGGGGGAAGGGCGAGGGCTGCCCAGGGCCACAAGGACCCTGTAGCCGACTCACTTTCAGGAAGTCTGTCTCCCTGTCTCTCACGCACACACCCTGTTCCCCGGCTCAGTACTTGAGGTATGAAATGCGGAGGTGGTGGTGGAAGGTAGAGAGGTGAGGGAAGCACCTCGGTGCATCAATTTGCACAAAGCCTCAAGCAAACCTAGAGATTCCTGCCCTCGCTTCCCTCCTTGCAGCATTTTTGGGCACTGAGATCAGCAGGAGGGCAGTCAAGGGCATGAGGGGTTGTGAGGAACCGTGTGTACAGCATATGCCTCCCCATAACTGAAACGTGTCCTTGTCCTGAGGGGCAGAGGGTCCCGATGTAGGACAAGGCGGTGTGACTGAGGCCCAGACCACAGGCAGCTGAATTATTACGTCAGGTGCCTCTTTCGCTCTGGAGAGACAGGCACATACATCATCCAGTAGCAGAGCTACTGAGTGGCCCATGGGTGGGTACTAATTCAGTGGGGACAGTGTGCGGCCAGAGAGTCTCTCTGTCCTGGTCTCTCTAATGCTCTTCTTTCTCTGACTTCTCTGTGCCTGTAACTTTGTCTCTGTTGCCCACCCACCTGGGTGGGACCTCACTCATGCCAGAGGGCCCTTGCTTGGCCTTTCCTGAGGCTATCATCCTTTGACAGGGATGTTCGGGGGAACCGTGGGGGGTTGCTCATGAGTCTATGGAACTGTCCAAGGAAGGTATGTTCAGCTGCAGAGGGGTAGAAGGGAAGTTCTCCCTCGGGGCAAGCAGAGAGCTGCTCCCCATACACTGGGTGGCCTGGGCCTCTGGCCTCTGAAAGAACCCGAGGGGCTTTTCTACTACAAACAACAACAAAACAAACAAAACAAAACCAACCACCACCACCAACAAAAACCCCAACCCAAAACCTCCGGGGCTCAAACAGAGTATATCAAAGTCCTCACCAAGGCCCTGAAGGTGCTACAGGGTCTGGCCCCTCCCACCTCATCTCCTACCTCTCTCCCTCAGCCTTGCTGAGCCAGCCACACTGGCCTCCTCACTGTACCTCATACACCCTGGACGAATTTCCACTCCCGCACTTTTCCATTGGCTCTACCTCTGTCTGGGATGCTTTTCTTGCAGATATTCATGTCCTCTAGGTGTCTGCTCAAGGATCACATGCTTTGAAAGACTTTCCTTGACCTGTTTAGAAATTGACCTCTCTATTTCGTTTTTCTGATTTAATTTTCATCGCAGCAATTGCCAAAACCTGACCATTTCCTTACATTTTTGTGCTGTATGATCCCAATAGAATGTAAGCTCTGTGAGAACAAGGTTTTCTTTTTTTTTCCCTAAGTCTGTACGATTGTATTCCTAACAGCCACAATACTGCCTGACACCTAATTTGGAGGGAATGAATGAATGAATGAATGAGAGAATGAGTAAATAAATGCAAGGCTGTGATGAGACACATAGCTACACAGGCTAAAGGATCCTCCTAGGGAACATGTTCAGGGGTGACAGGCTGGTGACGAAGTCGGCGGTCTTTATCTCACTTTCTCAGTGTCCTTGGGGCTCCTGGGAGATGGCCCCTTCCCTAACAGAACCAAAGATCCTGCCATCCCTCTGACCTATTACTCATAGTCAACCACAGAGGCCTGCCCCACACCAGGCCTCTAACACCAGTCCGGTGCTCTAGCTTTCCTGCCCCGGCTCCCCCACCAGACCCATTCTGCATTGCCCAGGGAGACACAAGCCAGCACAACGCCCAGCACATGAAAAACGCTTGCAACGCTCCCTGGTACAATGGTGGCCACTGGAGGGAGGTAAATTTCAGCTCAGGAAGATGTTTTTCCCCGAGTCCAAGACTGCAGCGAGCTGTCAGCTTTGCCTCCTGGCTTTGCCCTCCCTCCCTGCCTCTGGGGCCAGCCTGGAAGGCCCCTGGGCATCGGCTTCGACCAGCCATTCCAGGTTCGCACCACCAAGGGGCGCTCGAGATGGAACAGGAAGAGTCTCTGGAAGTACCCCTCAGGGGCACGGAGGTAGGACCGTCCTCGCCAGGAGGTACCCTTAGGGAGGGGGCGTCCGATCTTGGAACAATCCATTGTGTAGGTGACAACACCGAAGGTCTGCATCAGCCACGGTTCCCAGCGGAGGCGCTAATAGCGCCGCCGGGTCCCTCCCGCCCGCTGCGCTCCGTTCTCCTGGCCCATCTGAGCCCGAGCGGACACCCGGTGTGAGGCCTCAGCCTTCCCTTCACTTCGCCGATTCCACCCCTCCGTCTCTACATGGTCACGTCCAGCTGAGCAACAACCGGGCGAGGGATTGGCTCTCCACTGTGGGGGCGGGGCCAGAGACTTTCCACGCGGTGATTGGTTCCGGTGAGATGGCGGCGTTAACCCTTCCGGGGCGCACAGTGCCTCCTAGTCCCCGCCTCCGTCCTCGCCTACCCAGTTCCTATTGGTCGTCTGGCTGGGGTGGGCAGGACGCTGGCGGAGCTGGAACTCGGGGTGAGGGGTGTGTGTGGTGTTTGTGTGTGTGTCCGTGTGTGTGCGTGTGTGTGGCCTTTCAGAGCGTAGAATTTTTCTCCGAGTTGAACTGCTCACCGACCGACTGCCCCGGGGGGCTGAAGATGCTGCCCTAGTCGGTGGCGAGGTTCCGCGCAACAGCTGGCTGGTAGCCCGCGTCTGGCGGCGGACGCGCGCGGTGACTGTGCCGTCTTCACGTGAGCTCTTTCAGTCTTGTTCAGCCGGGCGCGTCTGGCGCGGTGCCGTCAGTCCTCCAGATGCAATCAATTAATGTCCAGGGCGAGGTCTGTGCGCTTGGTTGGCGTCCCTGCCTAGGAAGAAGTAGTGTGTCGGGCAGTTTGGGGATGTGTATCGCTACAGATAGGTCAGTACAGATGCAGTTTGGGTACATTTGATCTTTCTGAGGCTTTGGGGCGATTGTGAGTGAATGGGCTGTGCTGTCTGAGTGGATTGTGTACGCCATGGGATAAGGTGTTTTAGGCTGTGTGTGTCTGTATCTGGGGGTGCACTTTCTGAGCGTTTTGTGCATTGGTGTCCCTGGGTTTGAGAGCTCTGTGTTGGCAGCTGCACCCTAGGGTGTGAGGTCTCTGAGCTGTTTGTGATTCTGGGTTTCAAGTTGTGATGTCTCTGAGCTGCCTGGGGTGGGGGGCGCTGTCTTAAGGTGTAAAGGATCTGAGCTGTTGGGGAGTCTGTGTGCGAGGTACATGTAGGTTCTCTGATTTGTCTGGGGGCTTTCTCTGAAGGTTCCGTGATGTTTCCGAGTTATTTGAGCTTAAATGTCTTTCTGTTTTTGGAGGTCTTTGTATTAGCTTGGGAGGTGTCTGCGTGGTTTGGGAGCCTCTCTAGGATGTGACGTAGCTGAGCAGATTTAATTTGCGTCCTTAGAGTGAAGACGTTGGTCTCTTGGCGTGTGGGAGTTGTCTCAGTGTGTATGATCTCTGTTGCTTTGGGGACTCTGTGACTCGGGTTGTGAGCTCGTCGTGCAGAGATTTTGGGGATCTTTTTTAGGTTGTGTTCAGTGATCTGTTTTTGTTGTCTCTGGGTATCTGAGCTGTTTGGGCTCTGTGTCTCAGAAGTAAAATCTTTGACCTTTGTGGTTGTGAGGTCTCTGTCCAGGAACCGAGGGCTTTGGAACGTGGCAGATATGATTCCAAAGCCCAGAGCCCCAAATCCTGCTTGTGTCATTGGGCAAGTCACCTGTCTCCTGAAGCCTAAATGTGGATCACAATCAATAAAATGGGGCCAGTGCCTGTCTTGGAGGGTACCTGGGCAACTTAGAAGTGTGTGTCAGGGTCCTGACTCCCAGCCATCGTTCCCCAAGAATTTTCTGATCACCTGCTGTGTGCCTGAGTACTTTTCTAGGAGTTGGAATACAACACAGGACAAAACTGACAAAGTCTCGCATTTCATAGAGTTAGCCAGTGAATATATGTTGACTATCAGAGGGTGGCAAGTGCTCCATAGAAAGGTAAGGCGGTTAGAGGAAAGAGTATGTGGGGAGCATGTTGTTATTTATTCAGGGTGATGAGGGAAGGACTCCCTCAGACGGTAATGACTGAGCAGAGGCCTGAGGAAGTGAAGGAGCAGGCGGTGGAACCACCTGCATTGTTAGAACATTGGGGGCAGAAGGTACAGCAGGTGCAACAGTGCTGAGGGGAAATCCACTGGGTGTGTTCCTGGATATCAAGGAGTCCTGTGATGCTGGTCAAAGCCCTCGTCGCTGGGTTTGACACATAGAGCTCATCGAAAGGTGTCTGGTGTTGCTGTCTCTGTTTCTCCCACAACCTGTGAGGGAGGTGGTCTTCATCCCCATTTTACAGACAGAGCACCCAAGGCTCCGAGAAGTGCACGGAATCTGCTCTCCTGCTTACACCTGAAATTGCTAAAAGAGGGGGAAACCTTGTGCTCCGCCACGAGAGACAGAGGGCTTGAGTGTCAGAGCTGCAGGGTGGATGCCGTCCACACTGGGTGTCAGCCAGCTAGCTGATGTAAATGATCATACGGGAATCATGACCCTCATTACCTTTCGACATTTGATGGAGGTCAGCACTGAGAGAGAACGGGGGTAGAGAAGAGAGGCAGGAAGAGGAAGCTGGAGAGCAGTGAGGGGAAAAAAAGCACTGGCTTCATGATATCGCCCAGATTTGGCCCAGTTCACCTGAATTAACTGATTGTACTGAGGTATATTCACCTCTTCCCCTCCCCTTTCTTTCCCTTCTCTTCTGTGCCTGAGCAGTTCAGCACACTAAAGCCCTTCGGTGCTACGGAGCAAGGCAAGTGTATGTGTGGAGGGGCATCCCATACTTGAGGAGTCAGAGCCCAGGCACGGTGGGCAAGGGCATCCATACATAGGAGCAGGCTGCACTGGGGACGGAGCCCAAGGCGGTGAGGAGGATGTCCCTGGGGGTTGGATGGGGAGAAGGCCAACTGGCTCAAGGATTCTAACTCGAGTGGTGTATGGAGGTCAAGGTCAGGGAGTGGTTCAGCAGAGCATGTGAGGGTTGGCCTCTGTCGCGCAGGAGGGATGGCTTATATACAGTGGGATTCATCAACTCAGTAAATGTGTAAAAAGATACTGGGAGACATGACTCTCACTCTTGGAAAAGGGAGTTTCAAATACAGAAGGGAAGAAAACAAACAAATTCTGAGGTGTTACATTGCGATTGGAGGTCTCCATGTGAACTCACGCTTTTCGGTATGTACGTGTGCATATAGGCATAGATCGATAGATACAGATGTTCATACGCGTGTGCGTTGGGATGGCAGAGGGAAAGGAGAAATGAGCCTGGCTCAACTTGTGGTACCAGTAATAAGGGACAGGTCAAGGAAGGATTGGCTGCTGTCAGAAGGACACACAAAATTGCTTGAAGGGGCTCCCACTGGAACATACTGGGGATAACTTTGTTTTTTCAGCTTTACTGAGATACTATTGATACATAACATAAGTAAACGTAAGGTATACAAGGTGATGATGTGATACATGTATACACTGTGAAATATTTACTATGTAAAGTTAGCTAACACTCTGTTCTTTCACAAAATGACCATTTTTTGTGTGCTGATAACATGTAAGATCTACTCTCTTAACTTTCCATATCTAATACAGTATTGTGAGTGATAGTCACCATGCTGTCTATATGCATTAGATCCCCATAACTTATTCATCTTCTGGCTGGAATTTTGTACCGAAGACCAGCGTTTCCCCCCAACCTCTGGCAAACACCATTCTCATCTCTATTTCTATGAGTTTGCTTTTTAAACTTCCACATATGTGACAACATAAGGTATTTATCTTTGTCTGTCTGACTTACCTCAGTATAAAGCCTTCAGGGTCCATCCATGTAGTTGCAAAAGGCAGGATTTTCTTCTTTTTTGTGGCCAAATAATATTCCATCGTGTATCTATAGCACATTTTCACGATCCATTGATCCCTCCATGGACACTGATGTTGTTTCCATATCTTGGCTGTTGCTGCATAGTAAATCATAAAATTGGTGTTACTCCTCCAATTTCCTTTTTCTTTTTCAAAATTATTTGACTATTCTACTTCCTTTGCCTTTCCACCTAAACTTCGTCATCAGTGTATATTTCCAAAAAAGTCCTACTGGGATTTTTGATTGGAATTGTATTAATACGATGGATCCCTTTGGGACCTGTTGACATCTAAATTATACTGACTTTTATCAACCCATGAACACAGTATGTGTCTCCATTTGTTCAGGCCTTCTTATACTTCTTTCCTCCTCTTTTTGTAGTTTAGGGCATACGGATCCTGTGTAGGTTTCGCTAGGTTTGAGGGGGGAAGCTATTTTAAGTGGTATGTGCCAGTGATTTCTGCTTTTTGTTTTGTTAGGTAATTGTTCATTGCTAGCATGTAGAAATTTGCTTGACTTTTTGTGTTGAGCTTGTATGCTGCAAGAGCGTTGAATGCACTTACTAGTTCTGGGAGGTTTTTGTTTAATTTCATGGGATTATCTGTGTACATAATCATGTCATCTGTGAATTGGAACAGTTTTATTTCCTCCTTCCTGATCTTTCTTTTTTCTTTCCTTTCTGGAATGGCTAGGATTTCCAGCAAATATTGAACAACAGAGGGGAGAGTGGATATCCTAGCCTCATTCCTGGTCTTAGGGAGAAAACATGTAGTCTTTCTCCATTAAGTAGGATGGGAGGTGTAGGTATTTTTGTAAGATGTTTTAAATCCAGGTTAAGAAAACTCCCTTCTGTTCCTGGTTTGTGGACTTGTTCTATCATGAATGGCTGTTGAATTTTGTCAAATGCTTTCTCTGCATGAATTGATATGGTCATGTGGTTCTTTTTTTGATACGCTAATATAATTGATTTATTAATTGACTTTTTAAAAGATTTATTTACTTATTTTTAGAGAGAGTGAGAGTGCCTGGGAGTGGGGAGGGAGGGAGCAGGGGGAGAGGGACAAGCAGGCTCCCTGCTGAGCATGGAGCCCAAGGCAAGGCTTGACCCTAGGACCTTGAGATCATGACCTGAGCCAAAACCAACAGTGGGACACTTAACCAACTGAGCCACCCAGGCGCCCCTATTCATTGATTTTTGAATACTGCACTGCCTTTGCATTTCTAGGATAAACCCAACTGGGTCGTGTTGTATTATTATTTTTATATATTATTGAATTGGATTTGCTAGTACTGTCTTTGTCTGATTTTGGTATCAGGGTAATGGTGATCTGATAAAATGATTCAAGAAATGTTCCCTGTCTTCTATTTACTTGAAGGGGTTGTATAGAATTGCTGTTGTTTCTTCTTAAATGTGTGGTAGGATTTTCCAGAGAAACCGTCAGGGCCTGGAGATTTCTTTCCTGAAAGTTTCTAAAGGATAAAATTTTTAAAATAATATGTATGTTTTTCAGATAATCTGGGTGGTGTTTTGTTTTGTGTGTGTGTGTTTTTGTTTGTTTGTTTGTTTTTTGGTTGAGTTTTAATAGTCGGTGTCTTTCAAGCAATTGATTGTTTCATCTAAGTTGTCAAATGTAGGTACATAGTTATTTGTTAGAATCTTTTCGCTGTAGAGTCTGTAACCTATTTCTTTCCTCATAGTGTTAAGTATCTTTCCTTATCTTTCTTTCTGTGTCAGTCTGGATAGAAATTTATGAATTTTACTGACCTTTTCAAAGAACCAGCTTTTGGTTTCAACGACTCTTCTTTTCCTGATAACTGTTCTAATGTCTGTTTCCCTTATTTACTTGCTTTGAGTTTATTTTCTTTTTCTAGTTTCTTAAGGGGGAAGCTTTCATTATTGATTTGGGTCCTTGATTCTTTCTAATGCAAACATTTGATGCTGTACATTTACTGCCCAACGCTGCTGTAGCTGCATCCTGCAAATTTGGATATGTTGTATTTTCATTTCCATTCAGTTCATCTGATAAAGGGTTAGTATCCAGAATATTTTCTAATTTCCCTTGAGACTTGCCCTTTGCGCGCCCCATGGATTATTTAGAAGCGTATGGTGTAATTTCCTTATGTTTGGAGATTTTCCTCTTCACTTTTTCTTCCATACTCGTAGTTTTTCTCTTTTGCTCAGGCAACATTCTCCGTATGATTTCAACTATTTTATAACTTGTGATATTTGGCCTTCGGCTCAGGTCATGATCCCAGGGTCCTGGGATCGAGCCCCGCATCGCGCTGTTCGCTCAGCGGGAAGCGTGCTTCTCCCTCTCCCACTCCCCCTGCTTGTGTTCCCTCTCCCGCTGTGTTTCTCTCTGTCAAATAAATAAATAAATAAAACCTTTAAAAAAAAAACCCTTGTAATATTTGTTTTATGACCCAGGATGCAGGGTACCTTGGTAAAACTCCCATATGCCCTTGAAAAGAATGTATATTCTGCCACTGCTCTGGGAAGGGTTCTGTACTTGTCGCTTACATGCAGGTAGTTCACGGTGTTGTTCAGTTCATCCACATATTGCTGATTTTCTCCTGTTCCTTCTGCATATTACTGAGAGAGTGTTGAGCTCTACAGCTATCATTTGTAGATTTGTTCATTTATCCTTCCCTTCTGTCTGACTTGGTGATGCATCTCGAAGCATTGTTGTTGGGTGTTGTGCAGAGAAGAGTTAACATAGCAGGCCCGAAACCGCTATCCTTGCAGAGATCAGCATGCTGGCCCTTACCTTGCATCCGGGAACTTGAATTTCGGAAGGCTTCCCACCATTCCCTACCCGAGCAGGATGCTTTACTCTTCCTAAACTGTCCAAACAATATGTTTCATGCTAAACACCTGCTTTCCTTCTGGAAATCTGAGATCTCTGCACGTGCTAGGCAGAGAGTGTCTATGTGCCCAGCCCCCAAAACAAACCTCAGACACGGTGTTAGTCGTGAGCTTCCCTGGTAGGCAGCGTTTCGTGTGACTTACCATGATTTGTTGCTGGAGGTACAAATAGCATGACTCTACTGGGAAGGACTCTTGGAAGCTTGCACTGGTTTCCTCCAGATGTTACCCAAGGGCCCTTTTCCCCTGGGTAATTTTGCTTTGTATCCTTTTGCTGTAATAAATCTTAGCCCTGAGGATGACTGTGTGCTGAGTCCTTTGGGCCCTCCTGGGGATTCACCAAAAGCAAGGGTGGTCTTGGGACGTTGGAAACAGCGGTGGTAGCCGTGGGACTCACTAGCGAGAAGACCCTGCCTCACTAAAATGTGCTGAAAGACTTCTCTGAGTAAGGGAAGGCTGACGCAGTAGAGGGGATGAACCGTTTGTGCCCAGTGACTGTGGATATACCCATGGTATGAAGCAGCAGCTCAACTGTTGTAGCCACCTTATGACTTGGGGCTTGATTTTCTCAGGGCCAGGCAAGAGGATACAGACCTTCCCAAAGGTGAGCTTTGGGTCAGCCAAAAATGTTGAAAGTTTAACACGCTCTCTCCTCCCAAGTGGGAGGAAACAGATTTAATCAGTTCCCTGAGCCAGAAAAAGCTTTCCGTAAACCAGAGGCAAAGACGGGGTGGGGGGAAAAGCACGCCAGCCTTTTCCTCACCTTGCTTACTGCCGCTGTGGCTGGCCCTCCCCCCATTCCAACCAGGAAGCCCCCTGGCCCCTGTGTGGTCACCGGGAAGTGTCCGTTTACTGCTAGCAGTTTCCATAAACTTTCAGTGAGAGGGGAAAAGGGAGGATTTCAAAATGGCTTCGAACATTGTGGCTGTTGGCGTCCGGATGCATTGAGAAAATTGATTCAAGATGTGAGGCAGGGCCGCTGTTCAATGCAGCTGCGCCCAGCAAGGGAACGACCTTTTCTAGCCTGGTCGCTGCATGAATGAGAGAGACAAAAAGGGCAGGAGGTGATGTAAACCCATTTTGAAAATGTTGAAAATTCAGGATTTCATCCTGACAGTTCCTAATGATCACGAGTCTTTGTCGTTATGCAATAGGTTTTTCTATGCAAACGCTTTTGTCCCTTTTGAGAACAGCCCCTCCATACAAAAGGTTTAGAGGAGAGGAAGGGATAAGTAAAGAAATGTGAAAGTTCGATTTCAGAATTGTACATGCTGATTTTGTAACAGTGGAGAAAACGCAAACCTGGCACCTGGGGAGAGGCAGAGGGAGGAAGCAAAGACATTAATGACCTCTGTTTGTCCAAACTGTTCCTGGAAACTGTCCATTTTTTGTTAAGATTAAAATTTATTTATTTGACAGAGAGAGCACAAGCAGGGGGAGCGCAGAGGGAGAGGGAGATGCTCCATCCCTGGACCCTGGGATCACGCAGGACCTGAGCCAAAGGCAGACGCTTCACCCACTGAGCCACCCAGGCGCCCCCTGTCTGTTTTGTTTTGAAGAAATACTCGCAGTGCAGTCTTTCCCAGTGGCTGTGAGCACTTTGATGCAAACTGGCTGCTGAGCCTGCAGCCACGCCTGCCAGAGCTCTGACTGTGGGACAGCAGGCGTGGCCGCAGCTCTGGGGCTTTGCCTGCGCAGCACTTCCACATGACCTCCTCCCTCGGAAGGAGGTGAACTGGTGTGTGGACAGACCACACTTTTGGAACTGACTGCCTCCAGGCAGCCCTCTGAAAGCAAGGGCTCAGATGGGGAGTCCTGGAGGGGAAGGTCCCGTGGTGGGAGGCCACCCACAGCGAGGCCCTGGTGAACTGTATCGCCTGATTCGTGTGTGTCCAGCTCTGGGCTCCCTAACAGTTGTAAACTCTGTTCCAGGAGTGTCGCGTGTGCCCTCTGCGATTACACTTCGTGTGTGCGCGCTCTGCCTAGCCTGCCGCTGCCTCAGCCTGGAAGACTTTCAGGTCCGCTTCTGCTTCCCGACCAGAGTGTGCTGTGCCTGGATTTGTGCCTCAGGCCAGCTAAAAACAAGGTTCAGACAGACACTTAAGCAGTAAGTTATCTCTTTTACTACGTTAGACTTTTATGGTTGGTGAGAATTGTTTGAACTGGTCAAATCTGGGACCCCTGAGGGATGTATTGGGAGATGAGTACCGCAGGCTGCTGGGACCCTGCTGCAGGGGTCCTAAGACAGGCCTGTGGCACTCACGTCCCGCCCTCCGCAGCCTGACAGGCTTCAGTCTGGACATGGTTCTGTCGTGTGGTGCGTCATTATGACGCGGGGCCCAGCCATTCCCAGTTTCCTTCAGTTCCACAGGTGTGGACTGGCCTTCTGCTAAGTGTCGGGGCCTCCGGCCTGAGGACACCACGATGAACTGGGTGTGTGTCCAACCTTCCAAGAAGGAGGTAGGAGTCTGGTGAGGGAGACAGACATGGAAGCAAAGTGGCAGTGGTTAAGCTGGTTTTGTTCGGCCGCTCCTGGCAGATCACACGATGAACATCTCCCACTGAATTCTTCCCGTCCTTTCCCAGCATATCCTGCAGAAGCTGCATCTGGTCCGTACACTTGGGTTCCCCTCATCCTGTCTCCTCCATGCACAGCCACAGCTACCGAGCCATAACTGGCATGTGGTCGCAGACTCAAAGCCAAGAAGGGAATGGCTTTCGCTGATGTGTTTTCCAAAACGGTCAAGGGTTATTGGTACCTTTCCAGGTAAAACAACATGCCAGTTTCCCCCCGTTAACAGGGAAGTTACATTCATGGAGAATCCAGTGCATTGAAGTCTCTGCAAAAAAGGTTTGCATCCCTGCAACTTTCCCTTCCTAAATGCCGGGACCTCCCTTTCATCATTTCAACAATCAAAATTGCCCTCTGAACTTTTCAAAATGTGCCAGTATTTTGGTTTAAATTTTAAGTATTATTATGCAGGTACCCTCCCCGCAAAGCCTCATATTCACAACAGAAGGATAGGAATGTTGTGGTCCTTGCCTGCATTTGGTCAGAGGAAATAGTGCGGCAGCGTGGAGTAGGGCACAGTACCCCCCAGGAAGGATTCCGGGCACCTTCCTCTTCTGTCTGCTTTCTGTGATGAGAAAATGTTTCTGGGACAGCTAGGGTGTGAGGTAAAGCTTTGTTTCGGGGGTCACCACTGCCATGGGATGTCAGTGCCCAGGATGGTTTTGTGGTAGTCATGGCTCTTAGCTCCTGGACCTGGGCTTCTCCTCGTTGATGAGAAGCCTTTCCACGTGCAGACAGCAAGTGGAGGGGGCGCTGGGCTAGGGCTTGAAGCTACTGTCCTGTTTGGGCCAGCAGATGAGATCACAGATGGACAGCTGCAAGGAGAAGAGGGAGACGATCTTCTAAGGTCAGGGGCAGGTTTCTGACAGGGGAAGGGAAGACATTGGCCCCAAGTTCTGGTTGCTCCAGGCTGATGTGGAATGGAGTGTGGGTGCGAGAATGAACCGAAGGCTGGGAGGAGGTGGGGATAATAGATCGCATAACCTCACATCATATGGGATGCATGGTCCTCGAGAACAGCCCATGCCGTCGTGGGATCTAAATGTCGTCTCCTGTCACCATCCCCATCCACTGGCCTTGAAGAAAATGTGGTTTTGTTTTGTTTTTAAGATTTTATTTATTTATCTGACAGAGACACAGCGAGAGAGGGAACACAAGCAGGGGGAGTGGGAGAGGGAGAAGCAGGCCTCCCGCCGAGCAGGGAGCCCGATGCGGGGCTCGATCCCAGGACCCTGGGATCATGACCTGAGCTGAAGGCAGACCCCCAACGACTGAGCCACCCAGGCGCCCCAAAGAAAATGGTTTTGAGCTAGACAGACGGAAGCCTTCAGGAAGAAAGGCCAGCGGGGTCATGATGTCTTCTCAGAAAATGCACTGCCCTGCCCTTGCTTTGCCTCTCGCGCCGTGTTCATTATGTCCTTTCTTCTTGCCTGCTTTCAGGCTGGTCTTCTCATGTGCGTGTCTGTCCAGAAAGTCAGTACCTTGGACACAGGCTTGCTCCCAAAGGGGCCTAATAAAGTTCTTGAGTGTTTCCTAGGCAGAGTTAAAAATCCCAGATTCTAGGGCACCGTTGTAGCCACACTAAATGAGATTCACTGGGTGTGGAACAGAGTGTGTGCATTTTTTTTAAAGATTTTATTTATTCGTTTGAGACAGAGATACGGAGAGAGAGAGCATGAGCAGGGGGAGAGACAGAAGGAGAGGGAGAAGCAGACTCCCCGCTGAGCCAGGAGCCCGACGTGGGGCCCGATCCCAGGACCCTGGGATCATGACTTGAGCCGAAGGCAGACGCTTAACCATCTGCGCCACCCAGGCGCCCCAGCGTTTTTCAGAGTTCCTGGGTTCTGACTCATGTGGGCAGCTTGTCTGGGAACTACTGGAGCAGGAGAATGGTCCTCTGTTTTTCCTGCCGCCAGGCTTCTCTCTCCACTGTGAGGGTGCGGAAGCGACACCAGTTTGGTGCCTTCTCTGGTGCACAAACCCAACGCCTTTGGCTAGGAGACTGACGTCCTGTCTGCTGTTCTAAGGAGGCTCTGAGAGTACTGTTTCCAGAAAGTCTCCTGAATCCAGTCCTGTCGAGCTTCCATCTACATGATTGCTGTTGAAATCACATTTCTGTTTCCTGTGCGGTCCCATGCTATAAAACCAGTCTGGTCTGTGTTAGCCGTTATTCTAAATATTTTGCAGTGGCCATTGGAGCTTACCATTGATTGAAGAAATACACAGCAGGGTGAGTTTTCCACAACGCCTTCAGACCTGTGCCTCCACCACTTACAGCTGGGCGACACGGAGCACGTTCCGTAACATCCGTGAGCCTCGTTTCCTGTAGCAACATGGAAACACTAGTTAGTGGGGCAGTTTAGAGCACCTTCTGTGTTAAGACAAGGAAAGTTGTCAGGACAGCAGCGCCTGGCATGTGGAGAGCTGTCAGTCAGTTCTAGCTGCTGTTCCTTTTGTCCTTCCCACATCTCCCCGAAGCGTGTTGCGGACAGATGGTGTCGAGACTACTTCTGACTCACTGGAGGGACTTGGCGCCATCACGTCAGCTCCTCAGGGACTCCAGAACTGAGTCGGGGGCGGGGGCACAGGGGATGGCGTATGTTTCTTAGCATAGTGAGTATTCAGCTCTCCTTATGGGTGATGATGAAGTCCGAGTGGAAACTTCTCTAGGAAATTAGACCAAATGACCCGTTCATACATCTTGTACGGTGGTTGGAAAAGTAAGGGGTCACTGGATAAGGATAGAACACGAGTCTGTGAATTTGCATAATCATGTCAAAGAGTGAAATGTAAAGGCCAAAGAACCTCATCACGTGGCTTCTTTTCTTGCTGTTAGTGCTATTGAATCCACTTCTCCTGCATCAGATGGTCACAGGTGAATCCGGGAACGCTATGAAACTGTTACTAGGTCAAATTGTCATCGGTAAGACTTTATTTCTCATGGAGTTTTCACATGGCCAGTTTTATCGTGCGGATTTTTCTCTTCCACTAATACTCATTATTGATTGAACAAAAGGCCGATGTATTAATATGTTCTGAGCTCCAGCATGAGGAGATGGTAAACAGTGTTTTTGGAGAGTCTGAGGAAAGGGGCGGTGGGGAGGGAAAGGGAGAGGGCGAGGTGAAGGTATACTGGGGGCAGGAAGAGAGAAGTCGTGGCAAACAGGAGGGAAGGATGAGGGGCGCAAGCAGAAAGCAGAAGTAGAGAGACACAGGAATAGAAGCTCACACGTCAGGAGGCTTACTATAGGCCTGGCATTGTTTTTAGCTCTTTCCCTACAGATAGACTTTTTTTTAAAGTCATTGACTAGTCACTGCAACACTGGGAGGTAAGTATTTTTAAGGTTGACATGCCCTGTTTACAGACCAGGAAACTGAGACACGTGGAGGTTAAGAGGGGAAGTAACTTACCCAAAGCCACCTAGCCAGCAAGGGCAGAGTCAGGGTGGTACCCAGGTCAGAGAGAAGCATAAAGAGACGTGGGATTTGGCCCTAAACTGCAGTGCACCTCCGTGTCCAGTGTCCTCTGGCTCAAAAGACAGGTGAACGTGTGCAGCAGCTTAATCTGATTACACTGGATCTGGGTATGGATTGAACATGATGTCTCTTCAGTGCATGAGACACTGTGGGGTGACAAGTCACTCTAGGCACATCACTAAGTGGGTGTCTGGTTCATATCAAGGTCTGTACATGCGGACGTCAGCATCGGTATCCTCATCGTCATTATCATGATGGACAGTAGTTTATGGTATAATGTGAGGAAACAAAACAGCAGATGAAAGAGTGTAGATGACCTCCCCACTCCAATCTCATGATTTAAAAAATGCATAGCATGAAGCCTGGAAGAGAGTACACCACATTAAGTCATTTACCCTAAGTGTGAGACGCTAGATAATTTGCAAATAACATTTTGTTCACTGTTTGATTTGCTGTATCCTCATTCTTGTTGCACAGCCAGTGTCTCTGGTACGAGTTTCCAGTCGTTTTTATGAAGACTGCGGCTTTGATACCCTTGCCAGGTGAACACCCAGTCCGGGCATTTAACGCAGAGAGGAGCGATGTGGTACAGTAGAGAGAGGAGCAGCGGGGGAAGCAGAGAGCTTTGGATGGAAGGTTAGCTAAGTCTGCAAGTGCTATGAAATCGCCCCAGAGGATGCAGGCCGAAACCAAACCAGACCAGACAGCAGCTTGCATGTCCCTGAGAGGAGACGGTTGTGCCGTTGACATGAGGATCTGCACTGAGGTTTCTTAGGCTTTCATTCTCTTTTGGCCCCTGCGGTGCAGCGGGGCAGCGTGTGGTTCTTATGAGGCAGCACTGCTTCGCGCCCTGCGGTGCATGAGAGTGGCAGCCTCACCTGAAGCATTCTCCTCCTGTGGGCCAGCTGGAGTACTTTTCTTGACGTCTGGAAGCTTACAGATTCAGACGAGAAAGCAGAAAGAAAATACACCGCCCCGTAGTTAGATCCAGCTCTCCTCCAGTAGACGCCTACATCGCCAGTGAGTCGCATGCACAGGTGTTGTAGACACTGGTTGGGAATTAGCAGGTTGGGTTGGGAGACTCCAAGGAGAACCATGGAAGTGAATAAAAGGTGAGAAAACACGTCAAGAGGGGACGAACAGCAGAAAACCGATGTTCTGGCCTTGCTTTTCTGCTAAGAGAGTAGCGTGCTCCATTATTGTGGGGAGAGGGCGCCCTGGCCCGAGGTCTGGAAGGGAATCACTGCACGTGGTGATGAGCATTCTGAGGACCCACCATCGGCGGTAACAAGGGGACACCGAGTGTGTGCAGGCACAAAGGTCTCAGCCTTGACCTTAGACTCGGAAAGCTTCTTAGCCCCGCTGACAGTCATGCTGCTTCACCTTACAGAAGCTCAGAGCCACCATCTAGCAAAACTGCTGGTGCTCCTCCACCTCCTAATCCCCTCAGGGTGTCTGCCCAGGTACTGCTCACTGATCTGCATGGGTATGATGGTGATCGTGTGTGTGTGTGTGTGTGTGTGTGTGTAACAAACACAGGGAGAGAGACTCCATTCATTTAACTGTGATTCACCAAGTCCCCAGCCACTATCGAGACACTTGTGTTGGGTGCTGGGGGATAGAATGAATAAAGACACTTCCCTGTTTTCGTGGCGTTTGTGCCAAATCACAAGAGAATAGTTCATCTAACCATCATACACAGAAACTTAAAAATTGCGCCTGTGATTAGTGGTGCCAAAGAGGTGCATTTTATGGAGGTATGATTGATAGGTAGAGCTGCATGTATTTTGTGTGTACAACTTGATGAGTGTGTATGCAGATGTCTGCCATCACTGCCATCAAGGACGAAGATGTAGCCGTCACCTCCCACAGTTTCCTCCCACCCCCTTTGTTCTTGTGGGTGTGGTTGTTACTATATTACCGTCATTAGTGGTAAGAACACTTAACATAAGATCATCTCTTAGCGATTTTAAGTCTACAACACGGTATCATCAGCTAAAGGCCCTGCGCTGTAGAGTAGATCTCCAGAACCTATTTTTCTGGCATAATTAGAACTTTGGACCTTTGACCATCACGTCCCCACTTACCCCTGCCCCGACCCCTGGCAACCATCGTTCTACGCTGTGCTTCTAAGAGTCTATTTTAGATTGTGTGTATAAGTGAGATCACGCAGTGTTTGTCTTTCTGTGTCTGGTTTATTTTACTTAGCCATCATGCCCACCGGGTTCGGACGACATGCTCTTATCCGTAGAAAACCCTGAAGACTCTGACAAAGACCAGACCAAACCAAAACAACCGTTAGAACTAAGGAACAAATTCAGTAGTGTTGTTTTCATTTGTAAAAAGAGTTTACTGGATATGAGATTCTTGGTTGTTGAGCATTTTGAATGATTATCCCACTTCCTTCTGACCTCCATTGTTTCTGCTGAGAAGTCTGCTGTTAATCTGATTGGATTGCCCCCGTAAGTGAGGGGTCATTTTCTCTTGTTGTTTTCAAGAGTTTCTCCTTGCCTTTGGCTTTCAGCACTTTTCCTATGATATGTCTGAATCTCTTCTCGTTTCTCCTGTCTGGAGTTCCTTTAGTTTCTTTCAGGCAGTTTCCTTTTGAATATTTTTTCTGCTCCTTTCTGTCTGTGTTGTGGCATTCTCATGCTCTCTGTGGGCGTTCCTAAGAGTGTCCCACATTCCTGTGCAGCTCAGTTTATTTTCCTCATTTGTTTTCCTCTCTTTCTTCAGATTCAGTAATCTCTATACGTCTGTCTTCAAGATGGCTAAATCTTTCTCTGGTAGTCCAACAACTGCCGATCCCCTTGAGTGAATTTTTTACTTCAGTTATTGCACTTTTCAACTCCAGAACTTCTATTTGGTTCCTTTTGATAATTGTTCTCTCTTTATTGTTATTCTCTATTTGATGGGACATTTTCATCATACCTTCCTTTACTTCTTTGATTGCGGTTTCCTTTTGTTCTCTGGACCTATTTATAACAGCAACTTTGAATTCCTTGTCAAATCTGACATCTGGTTGCAACCACAGGCAGTTTCTGTTGCTCGCTTATTCATACTTTCCTGTTTCTTTGCATGTATCCTAAGTGTTTTTTCTTGTCTGGAACCTGACAATCTAAAATAGTCCGGTTGCTACACTATCTAAAATATTATAGCAATTCTGGGTACTGGACTGTCACACCCCTTCCTGGGTTTGTTATTGCTGTTAGCTTGTTTAGTTGTTTAGTGTCTGGCTGGTTTATTTAGAGTCTGTTTTCACTCCTTACTCTCCCCCTAGCCTCGCCCCCCATCCTAGCTGTGTTATGCTTCAGGTTTGACTCCTCAGGGAGAGCCGACATGGGTATGCCCACTGTCACCTTGGGATGACTGGTTTGGGTGGGGCTGTCTTTGATTGTCTCTTTCCCTGACCAAACCCAGCTGTCCAGGTCCACTAACTGGGGGCTGCTTCTACTGTTTTCAACAGTGCCCTGGCTGTCTTGCTTCATAATATGAACCTGTGAAATCCCTGCTCCTTTGAAGGGCCAGCTGTCAAGCTTAGTGTCTGTGATTTTGTTCTGACCCTAGGCAGGCTCCTTCCAGCTGTCTCTTCTCCCTGATTGTGTCAGGTAATCCAGCCAGCCTACAGTTGATCCTCTATGTCCAGGAATTCCACCAGTCTCCTCCGGGTTGCCTTTTACCACAGCCTCCACTGTTTTGAATGTGCACCTAGGCCTAACCTTCGAAACACTCCATTGCAAATGGAATTCATTCCTCTGAGAGGAGCTCTCTGCTTCAAAACCTCTGAGCCACAATTCTGTAGTTGGGGAGTGGGGACGATGGTGGCACACTTCCCTTTCCTGTTTTTTAGTAGTGTTGCTTTTTACAATGTCCGTTTTTTATTGTTTATGGCTGGTATATACAAACAATTGACTTTTGCATACTGATTTTGTATCTTGTTACTTTGCTAAACTGGCCTCTTAATGCAAGTAACTTTTCTGTGGATTCTTTTTATGCAGTCAGGTTTTGCCTGTGAATAATGACTGTGTTACTTCTTTCTTTCTTCTTGACTTTTTTATTGGCTAGAACAGCCAGTAAACTATCGACTAGAAGTGGCAAAAGTACACATACTTGCCGTGTTCGCTGTCTTAGAAGGGAAGCATTCAGACCTTGACGATTCACGATTACATTAGCTTTCGATCTTTTTGTAGGTGCCAATTATCCGTTTGAGGATGTTGCCATAGACCGAATGAATATTGCCGTCTCCCCAGCATTCATGGTGAAGCCTTTCTCCAGTATGATGGTAATTGGAGGTGGGGCCTTTGGGAGATGATCAGGTCATGAGCATGGAGCCCACACGAACGGCATTAGCACCCTTATAAAAGAGACCCCTGAGAGCTCCCTCAGCCCCCCTGCCGTGTGAGGAGAAGAAGTCAGCAGTCTGTGTGGCAGGACGCAGGGCCTCGCCTGATGCCGAATCTGCTGGCACCTTGATCTTGGGCTTCCCGGCATCCGAAAGTGTAAGAAATACATTTCTCTTGTTTCTGTAACTCATCCAGTCTATGGTAGCTTTGTTACATCCACCCTAAGAGACTAAGATGGAAACCCCTCTCTATTCCTGATTTGCTAGGAGTTTTTCTCAGGTACATTTTATCAAATGCTTTTTATGCATCTGTCGAGATGCTCATATATTTTTAGTCTGTTATTATGGTCGGTTAGAGTGATTGATTATCAAACACTCAACCCGTCTTGAAGCCGTAGAGCAAATGCCATTTCACTATGGTATTTTATCTTTTGTATATATCGTTGGTTTCAGACAGCTAATTTATTTTGGATTACTGCATCTGTGCTCATGAGTTACATTGCTCTTGTTAGCTTTCAAAGTAAAACAGCCAGTTATTTTACCAGCAAAAAACAATGCGTCTATTCAGAAATAGTGGAGAATTAGAAATTGGAACAAGCAACCTAAGGCAAAATCCTAGGCAAGTCCAACAAACAAAGGAGAGGAATGTTATTTTATGGAGAAGGAGGAAGTCGGAAGGGGTTGTTTTGAACAAAAGTCCATTGGAGAAAAAGCAAGAGTTCAGAATGATGACAGCTTCTCATTGGCCGCGTTGCAGGGGTAATTGCTATCTTGTAGGCGATGCTGTGTTGGGGCCTGGAATTGAGGTTCTTTCATGTTGATTAGTCTTCTGTTGGGTCTGTAATGGACAGCCCTTCCTGTAATTGATGTTGAGCAGTATGGCTCTCCCTTCTAGGCTCTGAACTCTATAGTGATATTTCCCTTTATGTTTTTTCACAGTCTGTAATTTATAAAAAACGTCATGTCTTGCTTTGATGTCAGGATGTTGCTGGCTCTATAACATGCTTTAGGACGTGTAACATCATCTTCAGTTACCTGGAAGATTTTGTACAAAACTGGCATTATTTCTTCATCTGTGTTTAACAGAATTTTTTTTTTTTATAGATTTTGTTTATTTGACAAGAGAGAGAGAACACAAGTAGGCAGAGGGGCAGGCAGATGGAGAGGGAGAAGCAGGCTCCCCGCTGAGCAGGGAGCCCATGTGGGACTCGATCCCAGGACCCTGGGATCACGACCCGAGCCGAAGGCAGCCGCCTAACTGACTGAGCCACCCAGGCGCCCCTGATAGAATTTAAACAATGAAGCCACTTAAGCCTTGAGTTTTTTGTGAGAGAATGTTTTTTTTGTGTTTGATTTATTGAATTCATTCTCTTTGACAGGTATAGGGCCGTTCGTGTTAACGATGTCTTTAAAAAAAAAAAAAAGATTTTATTTATTAATTTGAGAGAGAGCACAAGCAGGGAGAGAGGCAGAGGGAGAGGGAGAAGCAGACTCCCCGCTGAGCTGGGAGCCTGACGTGGGGCTCAGTCTCAGAACCCTGAGATCATGGCCTGAGCCAAAGGCAGACACTCAACCATCTGAGCCACCCAGGCGTCCCCGTGTTAACGACTTCTTGACTGAGGTTTGCTAGCTAGTGTCTTTCAAGGAGTTTTCCCATTTCATCTTTGTTTGGATAATATTTTTAATAGTATTTTCTTATCCAATTCATCTCTAAAGGATCTTTATTGATGTCCCCTCTGGCAAAACTGATATTAGTCATCTGTGTCACTCTGCCCTCATTCATTTTTTTAACGATTTTATCTGTTTCTTTGACAGAGCCATAAGCAGGGGGGGTGGCAGAGGGAGACAGAGAAGCAGGCTCCCCACTGAGCAGGGAACCCGACACAGGGCTCGATCCGGACCCTGGGATCATGACCTGAGCCAAAGGCAGACTCTTAATCGGGCCAAGCCACCCAGGCACCCCTGCCCTCGTTCATTTTTATCACTCTGGCTAAACCTATTAGATTTACTGATCTTGTCAAAGAACCCATTCTTAGTTTCACTGATTCCTTTGTATCGATTTTATGATTTCTACTAAGTTGATTTCTGTTCAGACGTCCCTTATACTTTTTCCACTTGCCTTAGGTTTAAATTGATTTTGCTTTTTTAATTTCTTAAGGTGACAGCTTAGATAATTGATTTGAGACAGTTCTTCTTTTCTAGTACAAGTATTTAATGATAGAAATGTCCCTCAGTGCATTGTTTTAGATTCACCTCACAAATTTTGATATACTGTGTTTTCCTTTTCAACTTCTTGCGGTTTCTTCTTTGATCCCCGCGTTATTTAGAAATGTCATTTAATTTCAAAATATTTTGTGGTTTTCCAGATACCTCGCTGCAACCCATTTCTATTTTAATTCTTTGTGGTCAGAGAACCTAGTTTATATGATTTCAGTCCTTTAGAAGTTGAGATTTGCTCTATGGCACAGCATATGGTCTATCTTGGTGAACTCTGTATGTGCACCTCGGAAGAATGTGTATTCCGCTGTCCTTCTGTAAGTATCAGTTAGGTCATGTCTGTGGATAGTGATGCTCCGGTGTTCCATAGGGGTCTGATTGTATTGTCCACTTGTACTGTCAGTTGTGGGCAGCAGAATGCTGAAGGCTCTCGCTATGACTGCTTTGTCTGTTTTTCTTCTTAGTTTTATTACTTTTCAGCTCTTGTGCTTTAAAAACTGCATGCGCGTTCGTGATTTTTATATCTTCTCGATGGCTAGGCCTCTCTTTTATTATGTAAATCTGTCTTTTCCCTTGTGGATAATCCTCGTTCTGCAGTGTATTTCTGCAATATTAATTTAGCCCCTCCAGCTACTCATTTGATTCACGTTTGCTGGGTGTGTCTTAGTGTGGTCGGGATGCAGGAACAAAATACCGCAGACGAGGTGGCTTATGCACAAACGTATTTCTCACGGTTATGGAGGTTGGAGAACCAAGATCAAGGGCCAGCTTGGTTGGACTCTAGTGAAGGCCCTGTTCTGGGTCACGGATTTGTGGTCGTGTGACCTGGATCTCTCTGGAGCCTCTTTTATAAGGGCCCTTGTCCCGTTCATGAGGGCTCTGCCCGAGGACCTACCCCTCCCAAAGGCCAGCCTCCTAATACTGTCATCTTTGAGGGTTATATTTACCATGAGAGTTTGGGAGGAGACACCTTCAGACCATAGCATTACCATCTTCCATTCACTTACTTTTAACTTATATAGGTATTTATACTTAAAGTGGGATTCTTTTGACACTATATAGTTGGGTCTTGCTATTTTTATCTAAAGTGTCAAATTGGGTCTTTTAATTGATGCGTAGGCAATGTACATTTAGCGTGTTAACACTTTACATGTACAGGTACCATCTGGCTGGCTGTATATTTCTATCATATGTATTTTTTGTTCAGATGTTCCTATTCCCTCCATAATTTTGGATCAGTTGAACATTTGCTGTTACTGCAGTTTATCTCCACTGTTGGCTTACTAGTTATACACTTAAAGGTTCTTTTCAAGTGGTTGCTCTAGGGTTTACAGTATATATTGGTGCTTGTCACAGCATGCATTCAAATGATATTCTACCACTTCATGTACACTGTAAGGATCATACGACTGTACCCCCACTTCCTTTCTCCCATCCTTGGTGCTGTGGTGGCCTTGCATTTTATTTCTACCAGTGTCTTAAACCCCATAATACATTGTTAACTATTATTACTTTAGATACTTCTCTTTTAAGGAGATTAAATATAAGAGACAAAATTCCTATTCAGCCACAACTTTACCATGCCCAGCACTATTCAATTCTTTGTATAGATCCTGATTTTTCTTTTTTTTTTTTTTAAGATTTTATTTATTGATTTGACAGAGAGAGAGGGAGAGAGCACAAGCAGGGGGAGCGGCAGGCAGAGGGAGAGGGAGAAGCAGGCTTCCCCACCGAGCAGGGAGCCCGACGCGGGGCCCGATTCCAGGACCCCGGGACCATGACCCGAGCCGAAGGCAGACGCCTAATCGACTGAGCCACCCAGGTGCCCCAAGATCCCTGATTTTCTTTGGATATCATTTGCCTCTTCCCGAAGTACTTCCTTTAACATGTTTCGTAGGGCAGATCTGCTGGCTGTGCATTTCCTCAGCTTTTTTGTTTGTTTTGAAGTTTTTGTTTCACCTTCATTTTTCAGAAGCATTTGCATGAATCCGAAAATTCTGGGTCACATGGATTCTGAGGAGTAAGTAGCCTGCCATCCTGTTTGTTCCCTTGTATGTAATGTGTCCCTCTTGTCTGCTTTTTCATCAGAGGGTGTCGGTGTTTGAGTCGATCTTTTCGTTAGTCAAGTTGGACTTCAGTTCTGTTGTTGCTATAGTTAGTTTAACCCTAGCATAAACTAGATTGATACACAAAAATCAATTCTATTTCTATACAGTAGCAGTGAACAATCCAAATAAGTAAGAAAAGAAAGCAATTTCAGTTACAGTAGAGTCAAAAGAATGACAGATTTAGGAATTAATTTAACCAAACAGGTGTGAGAGTTATGCACCGAAAATTACAAAACACAGTTGAAAGAGATTAAAGCATACTTAAATGAATGGAAAGACCTCCTGTGTTCATGCATTGGGACACCTGATGTTAAGTTAGCAACATTCCCCAAATTGATCCAAGCATTCAGTATAATCCCTATCGATATTCTAACTGCAGTGTTTTAGAGATTGAGAGACTGATCCTGAAATTCATGTGGAAATTTCAGGGCCCCAGAACAGCTTAAACGGTCTCGCAGAAGACAACCAAAGGTGGAAGACTCATGCATTCTGATTTCAACCGTTATTTCAAACCTCCAGTAATCAATACGATGTAGTACTGATGTAAGGATGGACATAGAGATCAACGGAATAGAACTGAGAGGCCAGAAATAACCCATACAAGCACGGTGAGTTCATTGTGGGCAGCAGTGCCAAGACAATTACATGTCCCAAATGGTGCTGGGACAACTAGATACTCACATTTAAAGAATGAATTTGAATCCAAACTTCCTAGCATAGATAGAAATTCAGCCAAAAGGGACCAAAACTCAAAATCTGATTCTACCCTGTCCCCACCCTCAGTATGATTTCAGCTTCATGAAAAGAGGAGCACATGTGGGTCTTCTGTGATGTCTCCCCAGCATTTAGAACAGTATCAGGTACACAAGTAGGTACTCCAGAGATGTTTCTGTAGTAGCCAAAGGAACCTTGGATCCAGCAGTTTCCACTGCTGCCAATTTCCACTGCTACAACTATAAAATTTCTATAAGAGAGCATAGGAGTAAATCTTTGTGACATTGGGTTAGGTGATGGATTCTTAGCTATGACACCAAAGCACAGATAATAAATGCCAAATGGATAAAAATGACTTCCTCAAAATTAGAAAAAATATTTGCTTTAAAGGACACCATAAGAATGTGAAAAAAACGGGGTGCCTGGGTGGCTCAGTTGGTTAAGCGACTGCCTTCGGCTCAGGTCATGATCCTGGAGTCCTGGGATCGAGTCCCGCATCGGGCTCCCTGCTCGGCAGGGAGTCTGCTTCTCCCTCTGACCCTCCTCCCTCTCATGCTCTCTGTCTCTGATTCTCTCTCTCACAAATAAATAAAATCTTAAAAAAGAATGTGAAAAAAACAAAAAGAATGGAAGAAAATATATGTGTATTAATAAGGGTCCCGTATTCAGAATGTAAAAAGATTTCTTACACATTAACAGTAAAAAGACAACCCAATTAAAAATGGGCTAAGCATTTGAATAGACATTTCTATAAAAAAGATATACAAATATCCAATAAGGACATGAAAAGATGTTCAAAAATATCAGTCGTTAGGGAAACAAAACTTGAAAGCACAATGAATTACAACTTCCCATCCACTAGTATGGATAGAATTTCAAAAATGAAAATAAGAAGGGTTGGGGAGGATGTGCAAAAATTGAAGTCCTCATACATTGCTGGTGGGGATGCAAAATGGAACATCTGCTGTGGGAAACAGTTTGGCAGCTCCTCAAAAAGTTAAACAGAATTGCTGTGTGACCCAGTTACCCCACTCCTAGCTATCTATCGAAGACAAGTGAGGACATAAGCTCTCACAAAAATTTGCATACGAATGTTCCTAGCAACATTAATCACAACAGTCGAAGAGTGCAAACAACCCAAATGCCAACCGTGTCATGAATATATCACATGCGGTGACCTATACATACGGTAGAATAATATTCAGCCAAAAAAGAATGGAGTCGTGATACTTGCTACAACATGGATGAGTCCTGAACATATTATGCTAAGTGAAAGAAGCCAGACTCAAAGGCCACATAATGTATGATCCTGTTGAGTTGAAATATCCAGAATGGACAAATCTGTGGAGACATGAAGCCGACGAGCGAATATCCAGGGTTCCTGGGACAGGGGATTGGGGAGGGACTGCTAATGGTACAGGGTTTGTTCTGGAATTAGATCTTGGTGACGGTTTGCACAACCTTGTGCATATACGGCTAAAAAGGGTGAATTTGATGGTACACGACTTACAGCTCAATAAATTGAAAAAAAAAATTAAAGGATAGCATGGACCTTTGGATCGGTTTTTGGCCATTTTTAGAAATACAGTTGGCTACACCCGAAGACATAGTAAGCTGTCCAAATCTTGCCTTCATCAGTTTGGTCATCAGAGGTGACCATCGTAGCCGGATTAGGTGTTTCCCTCTTGTCCCTGTTACCCGTATTTACAAACTGCATGTCACATACATATACACATACAGACACTGGTTGACTTAGGGGTAGTTATTACATGCTACTCCCCGTTTAAAAATATATATAAAAATAAAATAAAATTCCTGGCCAGTACAGATGTGCTCCTCTCATTCTCTTTCAAGGCCAGTGGGTGGTCCATGGTATGATATGAACACTTCATCTCTCATTTCCCCTTCCAAAGGTTGTTGACTGCTAATGGCCATTTAGAGTTTCTTTCCCCCAGAAATTTGTCTTGTCATTGTACACAAAGCCTGTGCAAATATTTCTCGTTTTTTGTTAAGATTTTATTTATCCATTTGACACAGAGCACAAGCACGGGGAGTGGCAGAGGGAGAGGGAGAAGCAGGCTCCCCAGTGAGCAGGGAGCCCGATGCAGGGCTCGATCCCAGGACCCCGGGATCATGACCTGAGCCGAAGGCAGACGCTTAACTGACTGAGCCACCCACGTGCCCCTCAGCCTGTGTAAATATTTCTTTAAGACAAGTTGGCAGCAGTGGAAATTGCTGGATCCAAGGTTCCTTTGGCTACTACAGAAACATCTCTGGAGTACCTACTTGTGTACCTGATACTGTTCTAAATGCTGGGGAGACATCACAGAAGACCCACATGTGCTCCTCTTTTCATGAAGCTGAAATCATACTGAGGGTGGGGACAGGGTAGAATCAGATTTTGATAGATGCCGCCACAGAGCCCTGCAAAGTTGTTTTACCAATTCATGCTTCCCTCGGTGTGGCTGGGGTAACAAATGCCCCTTTGCTGGCCTCCTCAGCACCCCATTCATGAAGTAGGGGCTGTTGACAAGAGGCTGAGCTCTTTATCCCAGGCTGTCTACACGATCTTGGAGTCTGCAGCTGGAATGATCCCTGAGGGGATTTTAAGAGTAGTGAGACCGAGATGGAAAAATCCACTACCCATTTAAGTGTATTCCCAGGCAGGAGGGGAGCTGGAGGGTGTTGTGACCCTGTCTGGGCAAATTACCAGAGCGTGCAGTGACAGGAGAGGGTGAAAGGTTGGTAGAGGAGCAGTGGGAGGTACCTTCCCGTGCTAGGATGTACCACTGAGAGGCCCAGAAGCAGCAGTCCGCTCTGGGAGGTACAACCGGGAGTGAGGGAGGCTTGTGTTCCCAAACAAACCATTGTGTGCATGGTGCGGGGAGCTCACCACCATGCAAGGACCTCCACTTCCCCTGAGGTCAACGTCATCCCACCTTTTTTTTTTTTTTTTTTTAAAGATTTTAGTTTTTGACAGAGAGAGAGACAACGAGAGAGGGAACACAAGCAGGGAGAGTGGGAGAGGGAGAAGCAGGCTTCCCACCGAGCAGGGAGCCCGATGCGGGGCCTGATCCCAGGACCCCGGGACCATGACCTGAGCCGAAGGCAGACGCTTAACGACTGAGCCACCCAGGCGCCCCTCCATCATCCCACTTCTGACCCCACCCCGTCAGCTCTACAGATTCTAATCAAATGTGGACTAGGGAAGATGGCAGTGGAGCTCGTGGATGGTTCCCTGATAGGTGAGCAGGGCAGAGATGAAGGACACCACTGGATCTGACTGGTCTAGATGGGATTGCCTACCAGGATCTTCCAGGGGAGAGAGCTCCCGTTGGCTGGAAGTGGGGGTGTCCTCAGAGAGATTGTGGGTGCAGAGGTGGGGCTTTGAAGAGTGGAGGTAGATGTGTGTGTGGGGGGGGGGTTGCAATCCTTCTCTGGAACCTCAGGCTGCTAATCTGCAGAAGAGGCTGAAGATACTAGCCAGCTCAGTGGGATCACTGGCTTTTATTCTGTCCTCTAGTCTATTTTCCTGTTATGTTTTTTAACAGTGGGTACTGGATCCCACGATACGGACATCAGCGCCCAATAACCAATCACTAAATCTTACTCCAGTGTCCCGTTATGTGCCCACCAGACTACATGGAGGTCTTGGATGGGCAGAGAGCTTTCAGAGAGCTCATGACCTACTCCAGGCCAGGTTTCTCCAGGGAACCCGACGGTGACCTACTCAACCCAAAGAGGTGAATGCTTAAATGATGGGATTTTAAGCATTAGACAGGGGAGATGTTTGGCTGAGGGTAGGTAAGTAGGACATAGGTGGGTTCTCAAGTCAGTGAACTTCTCCCCAGTCAGGCATTAAGCCCTGACTGTGTTCACACCTGAGTCTGAAAGGCTGCAGATGCAAGACTGGGTTCCTGGGTTCGTGAAAATCCACCATGGCCTCAGAGGTGGGCCAGTGTGTGTGTCCCCTGAGGAGGACAAGGTGCACCCATCGGGCCCACATCAGCCTCTGTCCCCAAATTCCACACCTTACAGTAGATACTGCCCTTGGGCAAATGGCCCTGCTCTGGTGTTGGCCTCATGGTGTGAGAAGAGAGGGGAAATGCGCGTGCCTCCCTATTTGCACAAGGCATGGCAGGAACTGGAGACCCTCATGCCACCTTTCCTTTAAAGCAGAATTAGGCATTGAGAGGAGGGGACAGGCTTCCTCTTTGGGGAGAGGATAAGGTGGAGCGGTGGGTGGAACAGGGGTGCGCCTCGGTGGTCAGGCACGTGGTCTGTGGCATATCTACCTGGCAGGGCAATGCGAACCCCTTCCCCATCTCCTTCCCCCGCTCATGTTCACTGGCTTGCAAAGGATCTGCTGGCTGAAGGTGTCCTTCTGGTTCGGGGCTCAGATGGACCCTGGGAAAACCAGGTGGCTGCAGTGCCTCCAAGGTTTAGGAGCTGAGAAGGCTGAAGGAAGCGCTGTGTTCAGGGTATGTGGGATGTGGGCCAGGCCTTCCACAAGGCTGGGCCGGGGGGCGGGGGGCCCTGGATCCACCCTGAGCAGCATGGGATGTGCTGCTCCACGTTCCACAGCTTCCACTCCTCAGCAGGAGGGCTCTGGGGCCTTAAGGACAGTGTGAGTCTCCTGAGGATGTTATGAACACTTCCAACCTAGAAGATATCCCTTTTGATGGGCAGAGGGCTCTACCGTGTGTCCAGCCTGGCGGAGGGCCGGCTGCCCTCCTGGGTGTGGCCTGGGCCTAGTGCAGCTGTGTCTTTGTCCGGAAAACAGGCAATGACGGCAACACCTGGGGGTCATCCTTCGCCTGGAAAAGGACGTTCCTCAGGTGCCTGGACGGGCACACTGGGATAGGGGCTAATGCCCTGGAGACAGCTGTGTTCCGGAAAGGCTCTCTGTAATTCTATCTTTCAGTCTCTGTGTCTCACTCATGGGGCTGGGTGAGACCTCATTGGCATGTGTCCTGTGTGGGGTGACTTTTGTGGTCAGAAGCAAGATGTCATTTCTCTGAGCTGGTTTGGGGTCTGTCCCAAGTTTTAAGGGGTCTGAGCTGTGTGAGGGTGTGTCCGGCGTGTGAGATCACTGAGCTGTGGAGTGTTGTGTGTCCCAAGGGAGAGTTCTCTGGTCTATTTAGGGCTCTCTCCCAGTGTGTGAGGTATCTGACCTGTTCTGGGTGCAGTGTGCACAACGTAAGGTGACTGGGGCTGTTGCCATGACGTATTTTGGGAATTAGGGTTTGGGCTGTCCTGAGCGACTCTGTCGAGGCTGACATGTTTGAGCTCCTGGGGGCCCATACTGTAGGTTGTGAGATCACAAAGGTTATTGGTCACAGGACAGGAGGTGTCCGAGCAAGCTCTGTGTTCACCGTACAGGTGCTCTGTGCCGTTTGTGTGTCTGCATGCAGGGTTGTGAGCTCTGTGATTGTGTGGCATCTACGTGCAGGGTGTGAGGTCTGTGAGCTGTTACGTCTCTGTGTTGCAGGTTGTCAGGTTCCTAAAGTGCATGTGGGTCTGTAGTTTAGAATTTATTGTCTCTGAGCTGTTTCGTGTCTCTCTCCTCATTTCTTGAGATCCCAGGAGTTTGAGTTCTGTGCGTTGTTTAATCTTGTATGTCCAGTGCATTGAGGTCTCCTAGCTGCCCTTTCCTGGGTCTGGAGCTCATCCACTCCAGCTCCCAACACCCGGGCTTCCTTGTCTAGGCCAGTGAGTCTGTGTGGTTGGCTTCCCTCAGTGTGTTATTGGGATACAAGTCTGTGTCCAGGGTGTGATGCTTCTGAGCTGGGGGCGATCCGGGTCCCAGGGTGAGGCCTCCTCTGTTTGTGGTGCTGTGTTGCAGGCATTGAAACTTCTGAGCCACATGGCTGTTTATATCGCCATTGAGAGACTTTGTCACATACCGAGTTCAGACATGAGGTGTTTGTGACCTCTACCCAATGTTTCAGTCTGACAACTGTCCAGAAAGACAGAGCTTGATCTGAGTTGCCCACCAGGACTCATGCATTCCAGCTCCCAATAACCTGGCTCCTCCACCACTGACTCTGTGGTGTGCTTCCCTCAGACCCTTCCCTAGGGTTGGGTTCTCCCAATCCAGAGCTGTAACTTACCTATTTCACGCAAATCTCAAGTACAGTTTGAAATGTAGTCAATATCCAACTAAAACACCAGACCCAGTGCTTCCCTAAAAAAAGTATTCACAAAACATTTTACTGAATCCCAAGAGGTTCCATCCAGGGAAGAGCCCCTGCCCTTTTGATAGGGAGTTGTTGCAAATCTCCTTAAAATATGGAATCTTTTTTAAAAATCCTCTCTCTGTGTGTTGCTGGTACCTTGAGAGGCTCAGACAGGAAAGGCCATTCAATTTTACGTTTTTGACAAAACAAGCAAAGCAACCCCCCCCCCCCCACACACCACCCAGTACACCCAGTAGTAGTCAACATAAGGAAATTGTATTGGAAAAGTAAATGGAATCCTGTGATTAATTACAAAACCAAATTTCTGATCACACTAGCCCTATGTCTACCGTCAGGATCGGCTGTATTCCGGCAGACTGGATAACCAAAGATGCCTTCTTTCTCCAAACCTCATACACTGCGGCTTGTAATCTGATTAGAACGATCCAAATAACTGTAACCAATGTAGGAATCACAGCCTGTTAAAAGCGTATCTTTTCCTATGTCACATTATGACCTCTCTCTCTCTCCCTCTCTCTCTCACCTCCTAGACAGAATTCTCAGGAAATACAGGAGGCACTGCCTAGGAAACAGACTCTTTCTGACCCCGTGGATCACTGACTGGAGCCCAGTGATGCCCCGGGGTCTAGCAGTGCCCACTAGAAGTCTCAATCTCGTGTCCGCTAAGAATGGCAGCCCTTTTAGAGAAAGAGAAATACGCCATACGCAGGTTCTCAAAATCGCAATCCTGATACTGCTGAGCTAGGGCTTGTGAGAGAAAGAGCTATTCTTTCGACAGCACCGGTCGCGCGTGGCCCAGGGAGAATGCTGGTCCTGCGACGCTAGTGCGCACACGGCCTGTTTAGGGAGATTCCCCTTCTCTCACTCTCAGACCCTCGCTTTCGCTCCTTCTTTCCCGGGATCAGGTTCGCGTCATCCCGCCGCCGGCGCACCCCCTCGGTTCCTCCGCGCAGCGCGGTGAAGCGCGCCTCCAAAAATAGAAGGGTTAAGACCACCGAGAGGAGAAGACCTCCCGGCTTCCTAGAGAGGCGGGGCTCCGTGACAGCCGTGACGTCCTAGGGATGGGACCCTGTGCCCAAGCCGGGTGCTTTTTAGCCTTCCTCGGGCTGGACGGGGCCGGGAGGCAGACGGGAACGTCCGTGGGCTTCGGCGTGGGAGCGTGGGACGCGCGACGTAGGCACCCGGCGAGTTGGGAAGGTTGAGCCCGCCCCCACGGCGGCGCAGCAGAGGGCACGGGACGAACGCTTCGTGAGGCCGCAGTGAGAGTTTCCGGGCGCTGCGGGTGACGTCACAGACGGTGCACCTGGTGCTGAGCCGGGTGGGGTGGGAAGGGAGGGGCTTCTCCGCGACGGCCTGGTTACGTCCCTCGCAGAGCGCACGCGTGAGAAGTACCTGTTAATAATTTTTGTTTTCTTACTAGGAGTTTTTGCATAGGCTCTACATACACGCTAGGAAAGGCAAAAGCAAAACTAGTAGAGAGCTTGTCTATTCAAGCTCTTGCAATCCGGAGAGCACCGGGATCTGAGGATCAGAGTGTCTCTCGACAGGGTGGTTTTGCCTTTTGTTCATAGGGATGCGTAGACACGTTATAGTGCGGAGATTTAAGGTAGGGGTGTTTCTGCATCCAGGATTAGTCTCAGTCAGCCGGACACGAAATGTTTCTCTCTGTGTCTAGCTAGTTTCAGGAGGACTGACTTTTAACCTCGGTGGCTGTTCCTGAGACAGCAGGGAGCTGGGGGGACTGTGTCTGGCC